GCTCAACAGTGCTGAGGAGTCCTCCAGTCTTAATATGTTCAGTTTCTGTTACAACTCATAACAACCCTATGAACAACAGACTCGACCCCTGTTCTATCCTATGCCGTCCTCACAATCTCTGACATACTAGACTTCATTGCTGCAGTGATTGTGTCAATCCATCTGGTTGAAGTTCTTCCTCTCTTTTGCTGACCCACCACCTTTTCAAGCATGATGTCCTCCCCTAGCAACATGTCCAAAGCATGTTTAAGCAGGTCTGTTTTCTTTTTAGGAATCTTAGGTGCTAGGTCACCTTTTCCTCTCATAATATCAAAGTCCACCTATTGTCGCTTGATTAAAGTGGCTGGTAATGGCAGCCTGGTTCCATCTAGTTTGGCTCTCAGCAGACTTTATGTAGACAATTTATCCTATGGATTACTTTCTTCTTTGAACCTTTGACATCCTTTTTTCTATTTCTGCTTTGAGTACAAATAAGTTTTCATTTATTTGATTTTTATTTATATTTTAACTTAAGTTTACATTGGATTTTCATTATTCATTGTTGTTCATTTTCCTCCCTAAGCCCCCAGTTTGCTTTTATCTTCAAAAAAATTTGTTCACTATAGTAGTTTCCTCCCTCCCTCCCTCTGCTCCTTAGTCCACTTTGCTAAGCACTTGTTATAGACTGTTGTCATGTACATTATACCTAATGTATTCCTTTTAAACAGTTCTTTCCCCTCATCTGTTTCAATGCAGTGTTCATTATTTATTCCTTTTTTTCTTTGTTTTCCCTCAAACCGCACCTCAGTCCTGTTTTATAACAGCAGCACTATGTGGTATTTGGCCTTTCGTGAATGAGATATTTCACTCAGCATAATAATGTCCTCCAGGGTCACCCATTTTGTAGAATATTTTTAGTTTCTTGTTTTTCTGTGCTGCATAGTATTCCATTGTGTGAATATACCACAGCTTCTCTATCCATTCATTTGTTGATGGGCACCTGGGTTGCTTTTACATCTTTGCTATTGTTAACAACGCAGCAATAAACACAGGTGTGCATACATCTCTTGGAGTGGTAGTTCTGGTTTCTTTAGGGTATACACATACATGGTATATATATAGTGATGGAATTGCTGGGTCAAATGTTATTTCTATTTCTACTTGAGCACCACAACAAGATAAAGGTAAATAATCCAATAGAAAAATGGGCACAGGATATGAACAGGCACTTCACCGAAGACGACATTCAGATG